GTGTGTGCTTATTTAAACAGTTAAAGAAAAACAATGCAGGCTATAATCTGACTCCAATAAAGTCTGTCTCTCACAACAAGGCTGCTGATAATTATTGTGTGTGTGCACGCATTAATTATCACGTGCGCATGTGTTATTATCTCGTGGCCCTGTGAAAACATTTTTTATTCCATGCCACCGGACGGGCCCCGTAGTATATAACCTTTTCAAAAGTATAATGAATAAGGCTAAAAACTCTTGGAAACCATGAGTCCTCTTATGGACATTACCTGTGCAAAACCTCATGCTGCTGAAAACACAACACAGGCTTTAGTTTAAAAATATTTAAGCATTTTTTCTTCTGGCACATATTGGCACATTTTGGCTCCACCTACAAAAGTAGAGTTTTTTAAGTTTTTTGTTACAAAACTTAAAAAACTTGATAAATAAGTTAGCTAACGAGCAAAAACAGCACATTTTATATTTTATTTTTTAAACGGCACATAGACACAACCGGAAGTGACGCTGCACTTTATGTGTAAAACGTGTTTGTAGCTTGGAGCAGCAGCTAGCCTTACGCAGGACTGACTTCATTTAGGATTGACCGAATTGCACAAATGAGCCCTCCTTTTCATCCTTGGAACCAGTAGAATCAAGTTATCTACAACACGTTCATGTAAACCTGACCAATCRCMCGCTATAAGGAGAGGAAGTCTGTGACGCAGTTTGAAAGACTTTCACCTTCATCCAGTGAACRTCTTGTAATTGGGTCAGACGGGGYGATTTTGGAGGAGGAAGTGCTTGAAACTCATACTGGGAAAWATAGTTGCTCTGTAAATACAAGTTWATGCCAGTGGATTTAGGATTTGGAGGAAAAAWTACGAAAGTAAGAAAACTTRTGTTTTATCATTTTCAAATCYGAGTGCTAGGTCTTCTSTTTTTTCTGCTAGTTGAGTGAATTCTGGTTGGATTGTGATGAAACTTATATTTTTAGAATCTGTCAGGTCTCTGCTTTCAGCAGACATGTTGYTTGTGTGTGAAGAAGTCACTGGTGAACWGCTGAGACCRRGTTTTGCAGAGACACCATTTTGTGCAGTTTGTTTACATATAGATTCAACTGTGTGTTGTTTTATCTGTGTCTGGTGSACGTAGAAATGGTTTMTATGAGTTTTTAGCMAAGATTCTGACGCTTCTATAGATACCACACATGTCTATGTTTACCWATGAGAACGTTGGTTGATAAGAGAAAGAAAAACAATACGATTCTGCCCCCACCGGCGGGGGCGGGGGGCTTAAGAGGTTTTCATTAAGTAAAAAATTCATTTCAGTTCCGTACTTTTTTWAAAAACTTTTCAGAAAAGTATAAAAATATATCTTTGTGTTGTTTCATGTACTGTAACTGTATCGAAGCATACTGGACCATGATTTCACAAAGTGTGTAACAAACTGGCATCCAGTATATTAGTACCTTTATAAAGTTGTACCCTGACATCAGTGTGCAGGGACCCTCTGCTCGTGGAATCACAAGTCCCTCTCAGCTTTCACCAGAATTAAGATTCAAATTATGGATTATTAAACTATCAGAAAAAGGTTGTCGTGGTCTTTTGGTCAAATCACCCACCTCTAGTTTCAACCAAAGAATAGTAGAGGGAAATAATCTCAGTATTGTTTAAAAAACAAACTTTTTACATAAATGAAACAAATATTTTCCATTAAGAATGCAATATGCTTCTATAGATGAAACTCCAAATCCTGTAAATAAAAAAATTCGTGTTTCTTTGCACCCAAAATTAAGACATGAACAAAATGAAAAAATAAAAAAGCATGCCCTACAAGCAGCTCAGTAATATGACCTCATGTACTTACACTGGTCATTCAGTAAGCGTGCAGTGACTATGACTGATTTTGTGCACAATGAAATGTGAACTGAGCATTTGTGTTGCTGCATTTTGTGACTGTATTTGTGCATATGTTCACAAGTTGATGTGTCTGAATGGATGCCATGTAAATAAAGGAGCTTGCAGAAAAATAAATCTGCCTGTTGACACTGAAACACATGGCAACATGGATGATTTACTGTACATGATCCCATCAGCTCTGTGCCTTCTTCTCACTGATCACATCCATTATGACACTTTGAAAAACGTGTCATTGTTTGATGTGACATCGCACAGCTATCACCAAAATGTGTGAGAGGAAGAATTTTCTTGTTTGTCAAATGATGACATTTGAGGACATTAATTCATGATTAAATTGGTGTAACAGAGCAGAGAGAGACTGCTCTTTGTGGGAAACTGTTTCAGATTGTACCACTGTTGATTTAGCTTTGTTGTAACTCGTGACAATTGAAGAATTGGGACTAAAAGATGGAACTTTTAGTGTAATAAATTTATTATGTCAAAACTCCAATTTGTAAAAATGGTTGTCATTAATCAAGTTATTTTGTTTTACCTTGTATTGGAAGGAAACAAAAGAAAGTCTTCACAGCAAAGATTTTAACCTTTGTTCTACAAATTCAGTTTTTATCACAAAACTGTTCAGAGGTCAGGAGGGGTTTGCTGATGCAGGGTACTACAGTCCCCACAGCAGCTACTGTACATTGTACTATACTGTATATTAATCCTGTGTTTTTCAACCTTGGTCCTCAATGCACACTGTTCTGCATGTTTTAGATATTTCCCTGCTTCAACACCTGATTTCAATTCATAATTGATTAACAGGCCTTTGTTGAACTGCAATCACCTGAACCAGGTGTGTAAAGCAGGGACACATCTAAAACATGCAGGTGGTGGTGACGTCCAGTTTTGGCAAACACTGTCTTAATTATCCACTCATGTAGGAGCTGAGGATGAGTTTGGCTGACAGAGATCCTAACTTATCCTCTGAAAGAAGCTCTTGTTTTCTCCAGACCACCCTTTCTTACTGACACTTGTGATGCATTTAGTTTGATCCCATTCAGGTGAGAATGGGAAGGAGAGGRGAGGAAATGGAACACTCAAAGAGAAATCAAAAACAATTCAGCATCCAGCATTTTTTAAATTCATGCATATCAAACGCAGACATTGAAAAGAGAGGAGGAGGGTGCTGAGGAAACAGTAGGAGAAGGATACATGAAGACTCAACTTACTTCTGAGCTCTGCAGTGATAGAGCAAAACAAGGACAGAACACAGGAGAGTTTAACCTCACAACATCCACGAAACAAGTCGAACCATTACACTTGTTGCACTAAGCTCAGAGTAWAAACGGGCTGGAGAGGGAGGGGCAGGGAAATAGAAAACACCGTCACAAAAGTTTGAGTTTGTGTGTGTGTGCAAAAGAAAGGTGTGTTTGCATCTGTCAAAACTTACATATAAGTGGGCATAACAATCAAGAGTAATGTATTCTGAGCAGACACTAACAAACACTACAGGATGGTAAAWCACAGCTACATTCTCTAAAACTATCAACACTACAACTAATACTGAGCTTCTGTTCATCTGAATACCAATAAGACAGTCGTGTTTTGAGCCGTAGTTTTAAAGTGGTTCTCATAGGTGCTGAATAACCATTTTAAACAATGCCTTAAAAAAGTTTTGATCTTGAACTTTTCCACATTTTATCACATTACAACAACAAACTTCAAATAGAGGGATTTTATGTGACAGAATAACACAAAGTAAAACAAATTGGTAAAGAGGAAGGGGAAGGATGCATGGTTTTCAACATTTTTTAACTAAAAAAATCGTAAATGTGATGTACATTTGTATTTACCCTCCTTTACTCTGATTCCTGGAACAAATACCCAAAATAAACCAAATACCCTGTTTGGTTCGGCCCCTATTTTTTCAAATTCTGCTTGTGTGTGAATAAATAATGAAACCAGGGCTGTCACGTTTTGACCTGAGCTGCTGAACACTGTTGCAACTCCTCAGTATGAAAAGTTGCTTTCGGCCGTCCTAAAAGTTGCTGAATAAAGTCATCGTCCAATTTGCATGTTTGGACTTTTGCCAACAGTTGTGATCAGGGCTGTATGGTTTTTAATGTAGGAGAAAACAGTGTGCAAAATCACTGGTGGGGGGTCTGGGGGTCCTACCCCAGAAAATTTTGAATGAATTATACACCATTTCCTGCATTCTGCTGTRTTTTAACAGGCTGTTAAACAGACTTTTATACAAATAAACACTTGGTGGATATTCTACAGGTCAAGTGAAGGGGTTCTCAAACATTTTGGGTCCGGAGACCCCTTACGAGTGAAAAATTACAGGGACCCCCCTCATTAAAGCCATGCTGTTTAAAAAATATTATTTTAATCCCTGAATTYCCTGGGAATAGAAGAGAAGAGTCATTTACAGCTGGGGCTGCTGTGTGAGGCTTCAGAAGTAGACTGGTAGAAGTAACTGAGGATTTATTCATTTCTTAAAACCAACAAAGACCATTAAAACCATCAAAGTAAATCAATTATTGAATAATAAAGATGCAAAACGAGGAAGAAAATATCATTTATCTGCTCCTGTTAAAACTCCAAGCACTAACTCATCTGTTCAAGTCAGTCTTCTCACTTTAATTTCTTATTTTCTTTTAATTTTAGTGATTTTTTTAATTGCCTTTTATTGTTAATGTTGTGTTTTTAATGTTGTAAAGTGTCCTTGGGTGTTTTGAAAGGTGCCAACAAATAAAATGCATTATTATTATTATTGTTATTATTATTATTATTATTATTGCTATGATAGGTGTTTGTTATAAATCTGACCTGCAGCCCTGCTTTAAAAAYATCCAGGTTATCCCTTTATTTAACACGGCTCTGACACTGATCCAGCTGTTTGCAGGTGATGTGCTGCACRTGCAGTGTATCCTGGTGAGAACAGTTGTTTTAAAAACTATGATTAAAAACATAATTTGTGTGCACAGCAGAAGGAAAGGATGGGTCTGAGCTGTGATGATGGACGCAGACAGAGCTGCTGACCTGGTTCTGGTGGGTCTGTGTGACCTCGGCCCCTTCATCACAGAAAATATCTGTTTATTGAACTCATTGGGCTGCATCTCACACAAACCTTTTCCTTTCCCCCTGCTCCATTCATCTCTTTCTTCTTTCTTTCTAACATGTCAGTTAATTTTACCAGCTCGGCTCACCTGTTTCCTTTATCTTTTTTAATGTGGGAGGGGGAGCACACACTTCCCCGTCTGCAGGACCATCCTCTCCCACTACACAGAGCTGTTTACAGGTAGAGGGAAGGTTGGTGTGAAAATACAGACTGGATAACAACCTGGCATGTCCCTGTGTGTACCACCACGGGTTGCAGTAAAAACGTGGACTGGATTTATATCAATATTTGTATTTTTATAATGATAAACTGGACCGGAGTTGAGTTTTTGGCGTTGGTCAGTTCTCAGTGTGAGAAAGTGGGAGTGTGGTGTGAGAGTGTGTGAAGACCCTCAGGTGAGTGTGTGTCATGCTCAGTGTGTGACACTTGAGAGCCCTGTACTGCTCTGTGAAGGTTTCAGAGGTTTGTTACAGTTTGTCACAGTAKTGATCAAACAGCATCATATGGACCAAGGAACACATCAGACAGGCCAGGGATGAAGTTGTTAAGAAGATTAAAGCACGGTTAGTTCCCTTTCGGTCAGTACACTGGGTACAACCCAAGGATGGAGATCAGGCACTTAGCTAGAGCGGCGTCAGGGCGTCTTTTCGATGCCCTGATCCRATTTGCGACACCCTGTGCCTGCGTCACAATGCCCTGGTTCGCTTTACAACATATAAGGTACACTGGTCAGATCAGACCAAAATTAAACTTTTAGACCTTAATGTGAAATGCTGAATGCCACATGTCACTCAGTACACACCATCCTCTAACGGTGAAACATGGTGTTGGCAGCATCCTGCTGTGGACATGTTGTTCTGCAGCAGTTACAAGGAAGCCAGTGAGAGATGATGAACAAAAACTCCTAACAGCTTGCAGCTATACTGCAGTGAAAAGTGGTTCTACAATGTATTGACTTGAGGAAAATTCATAAATATACATTACACTTTTAAAATTTTTGGTAAATATTTCTGAATATCTATAAATATTTAATATTTGTGTTGGTCCATCACATAAAATATGAGTGAAATAATTTGAGTTTTGTGGTTGAAACACGAGAAATTGTGGAAAAGTTCAAGATATGTCAATATTTTTAAGGCACTGTAAGTAGAAAAAAATGCATAAAACAACCACAATGCAAGACTTACTGGTGAATGGCTTGGAGAAACTTGCGTTGGTGTTTCCGCACCTTGGCATGATCTATCTTCTTAACCAACTTTGTGTGTTTGTAAATGAGCCATGTTTCCCTGAGTACATTGGCAGCTGTATTCTTTACCTGTGATACAAAGGTGGAAAAAACTGTTGASATAATGTAACTTGTTCAGTGGATCAGCTGTGACAGTCATACAGTTGTGATTAATATTCTCATAAGGAAAGTAGAAAACAGCAGAAAAAGGTTGTGAAAATAAATTGTACTGGACCAAATGTCAGTCCYCTTGTTAGGCTTTCACAACGTTGTCAAAAAGAGAAATACAGATCACAGTACCTCCAGGACGTGTGTAGACAATTATACAGGTAATTAAGGCCTAAAGTTTTTTATACATTATCTACTGAATGAGAATGAACATGTCCACATCATATCTGACCTTGTGTGAACCCAATCCTGCACTTCTCAAGTGAAAAGGCTTGAAAAGTTTTGAAAAATCCAAGTAAGCATACATGGGAGCATGATAAGTACATTTGTGAGAAGCTAGCTGATTCATTATATTTTCTGCTGCCCTGCTTTCTGCCTCCCACTCCTTAAACAAAAACTGTACAGTTATGCACAAATGAAAATTAAATCATCAATGTTCAAAGACAAGACAATAAAAATAGACCAAAARTCCCAATAAACAACCTAAGCAAACACAATAAATAATCTGATCMAGTGCTTGAAGCGGGCTGGCATTCTTTAGTACTTAGTATCGACACACRTAAATTTTCATCCGGTTCTGTAGTATATATCACTTTTTATAGCGTGCCACTTCTTATAAATGTATTGGTACGCAGCTTTTAGTTTCACCAACTGAAGCTTTGACTGATGTTTATACATTGCATTACCCAACATACATTGGCTGAAAACAAAAAGTCATGACTCGCTCAACACTGGTATTGACTGGGCTAAATATAGTGGATTAGAAGAAATACTGTATAACTCACAAGTAATAATGATTGATTAAACGCTAAGCACTGGTAGCAAATCAGAGGCACAACTAAACAAGAGCAGGGAATCTGATTAATTGTACTGACTGAGGGCTGTAATATACAGTCCATGGACAGACAAGAATTGTTACTGTAAGTAAACAGTAAATCTGTTGGGAATTCAAGCTTTGGCAAAATAAAATGTGAATGTGTAATATGAGAGTGGTGCATCTGTATCCTTTGTGAAATGCTTTAGTTAATGTGAGAGCTTGAATTCATAAAAGAAAATTCCAGAAAACTTTCAATAGTAAGAATTTTTTTCACTCAGAGAATCTCCTGCTTTCTTGACCTTTGCTACACAGAAAAATTTGTTTTATAGAAWTACAAAATAAAGTACAAAAGTATTGAATACTTCTGTTATAAAAAATGGTAAATGGACTGTACTTGTATAGCGCCTTTCTATCCATCCAGGACACTCAGAGCTCTTCACTCTACAATCTGTGTCCTCATTTATCCATTCACACAGCACTCTGTTAGGTCTCTACAAAGCTAACATGTACAATCATCTATGGAGACTAATCAGTGCCAGTCACATTCATACACTGATGGGACACATCAGAGGCATTAGGGCTGAAGTGTCTTGCCCAAGGACACAACAACTGAGACAGCTGGACGGGGGATTGAACCGATGACCTTCYGGTTCCAGGATGACTCCTCTAACCACTCTGCCACAGCCTCAATGCTGTACTGGTAGGTACAACCGGTAGGTCGCTGGTTCGATCCCCTGTCCAGCTGTCTCAGTTGTTGTGTCCTTGGGCAAGACACTTCAGCCCTAATGCCTCTGATGTGTCCCATCAGTGTATGAATGTGATTGGCACTGATTAGTCTCCATAGATGATTGTACATGTTAGCTATGTAGAGACCTAACAGAGTGCTGTGTGAATGGATAAATGAGGACACAGATTGTAGAGTGAAGAGCTTTGAGTGTCCTGGATGGATAGAAAGGTGATAYATAAGTACAGTCCATTTACCATTCTGTTTATAAAAAAAAGCAAAAATTAATAAAAATGCAGCAAAGTAATGTAACTCACTCGTTTGCAGAGTTGTGTGTCCATCATAAAGTTGTGTACATGCTTCTCAGCCTTGGTCAGCTCCAGCTTCCTGGCAACCACTGCAACCACCAGCGCAGTACAACCAGCACCCTGTTGTACAAGCAAAATATTGACTGAACACAACAACATAAGCAACATTATCTTGAAAATTTTTTCATGGAAACTAAACTGATCGGCCATAGAGATATGATCATTTTCCAGTTGCTTAGTAGTTTTTCTTTTGCTGCCATAACAACCCTGACTTATGAAGGCAGGAGTTCACTAGTTCAGTAAATTGACAACATGCATAGAGTAGACAATGTACATGATGTTAAAAATATAATTCTTCACATCATACAACTTTTTTCATTGCATTAGGATTCAAGTCCAATTCTTATATGCCATTGTAAGTATTTTCAGTGCAAGACATGGTTCATCAATCAGCATAGTCAATGGGACAGGTTGTAGACACTCCGGCTTCATTGTAGAATAATRACTTCTACATTTTCCATGACTTACATGACCAAATAAAATATTGGGGAACATGGCACATTTTAAACTCTTTCTTAAGTATGAAGGCAATCAGGTTGATGCAAGAATACACCATAGTAACCATCATGATAGAACAATGCTATGACCATGGGTATCATGCCTGTTCTATGTTCTTTTCATGACCTTGTCATTATCATATTTATAACCTAGGCATGAGGACAGCATGGCCAGTTTTGCATCAAATTTTCCACAATCAATTGATTCACTGGTGTTGAAGACTCCATCCATCCATCCATCCATCCATCCATCCATCCATCCATCCATACCACCCCACACACGCATACACATACATTCATCCATCCATTTTCTGCCATTCGTCTGTGGTTGGGTCACAGAAGCAATAGCTCCAGGAAGGAAACTCAGAATTTGGTTTCCCCCACCCCCTAAAAATATGTGCAATAGGTTGCCTCCCACTGGGAGGAGGCCCCGAGGAAGACCCAGGACACGCTGGAGGGACTATGTCTCTCGGCTGGCCTGGGAACGCCTTGGAGTTCCCCCGGAGGAGCTGGAAGAASTGGCTGGGGAGAGGGAGGTCTGGGCCTCCCTTCTGAAGCTGCTGCCCCCGCGACCCGACCCCGGATAGGCGGAAGAAAATGGATGGATGGATGGAGGTTGCCTTCAGGCCCAGGCCTCCCTTGAAAAAGAGATATGAGGGGCTTGGGGGGTTGTCGGGGACTGGGCTGGCACTCCGTCCTCCCTGGTGCTGTTTGGACTCCTGGAATGTGGCTCCTGGTGGCTGTGGATGGCCCGCTGGCCAGGGTGGCTGCCGGGGTCYGGTGGGTGTTTGGCTGGGGGGGTGCGCTTGGCCGTTGGTGGTGTAAGGGAGTGGTCGTGGACGTGCCTTCTCTGTGGCGGAGGGCTGGCCGGGTGGCCTGGTGWGGCCCGGGCCGGGCCTTGGCTGTCTGCTCCTCTCCACCCCAGAATGATTGGGTCTACCCCCTGGGTTTGGGTGTGTGCTGCCTCCTGTAGGGKGTGGGTGCATGTCCTGAACCTGGAGTGTATCAAGTATGTATCAGGAGCATGAGTGGAATGTGGCGTCCTTCTTGTTTGTCTTCGAATGAATGGGTGTGAGGATGAGGATGAGATTGTGTGATTGTGTATGTTTTGGTATTTTTCAGGCTGGGGTCTGGGGTGCCCCACCTTTCTGGCTTGTCTGGGGGCCCACTGCTACACTGCCCCCTGGTTGGATGTGCCGTTGCCTGCTGGTGTGCTGGTGGCTCTCGGGGTCTGGGGCTGGGAGCTGGGGAGTGTGCCGGCCCGGCCTGGTGACTACCTGCCAGGGCTCGGGTCCTCTGGCCCTGTCGGGCTTTGGCCTGGGGTGGGGGGGGTGTGCCCTTGGGGGCCTGGGCCTCTGTGCCCATGCTTGGATCTGCTCTGGCGTGGCGGGTGCCGGCGGGGCCTATGAGTTTGTTGCTGCTGGCCCCAGGGGTTTACTTGCGTATGGTCACTGGAGGGACTCTTCCGGCTCTCCCCTATGGTCCGAACTGGGGGGTGGGTGGGTGGATCTTCCTGTGCGGGCACCCCTGGGGGCTCTGCGYTCGGGGTCCCTCTCGGAGCCTCCTCTTGTGTGCTWTGCTTCACAGAGACATGGCTRAACGCAYGGATCCCGGTCTCMGCRCTCCATCTCGCAGGATTCTTCTACRCGTGGACAGACAGTGGGAACTCTCCGGGGGGAAAAAAAGGAGGAGTCTGCTTCTACATTAGCAACACCTGATGCTCCACTGTCACAGTAGCTTTGATTACATGCGCAAAAATTCTTTGATCGGATTGAAATGTATTCAGATTAAATAATCCAAATGAATGTGTTTACATGGCACAATCCGATGATGACGAGTGTTTACATGCACCAGACTTTTATTCAGAATGGAAGCAATGACAAAAGCAAGGTTGTTAATTTTGCCTAAAAAAACACAGAATAAGAAGTTCTACTTCCATCATGATGAACATAAACAAACAGCTGCTGAGCACCCAGAATGTACCCACAACAGGTTTTCATTAGGGATGTCCCGATACAAATTTTTCACTTCTGATACGATACAGATAATGCAAATTTGGGAATTGGCCGATACCGATATTGACCAATACTGATATTGACCTGATACTGATATTGACCCGATACAACATCAGTACGAATCACACACTTTTACCTATTTTGTAGTGTAAAATCTTAGAAAAGTCTTGATCAAGTCAAACAGAGAAAAACTGTAGGTATGAGAAATATTGACCCATTTATTTTTAACCAATGGATCACATACATTTTAAACTGAAGAACATTATACAATTTAATAAAAAATGAAATAAATTAAAAGACCCTGAAAAATAAAAAATAATAAAAACAAAATGTACTTTTAAATTGTAAAATAACAATTAAAAATCACTCCAGTTATTTGTTTATTATCTTGTCAGCCTGGTGCTATTTTATGGTGGGAAAACCTGAAGGTGGGGACAAAACAAAACCCCACATTATTGTCCAGTGTCCAATTGTTCAAAGTTAAGAGTCCACAGCTCCTATTTTACTGATTATGTCCAAAACAACGTGATCATTGCACTTAATCTTCACTAAAACAAGTGTGTAAACAGATTAAACATCACTCTAATAACAAGAGCAAAAAATAGTAAGTATTAGTCAGTTAATTAAATTGATAGCTACTTTTCTTACTGCTGCATTTCCACTTTCTATAGTCTGAGCATCATGTGGAGATCGGCCTCTCGTTCCTGCAGGGAGCAGTTTTTATCACTGCTCTCGCCACGTCGCGCTTATATTCCAAAACAAAAGCTGCGCTCTCCTTTCTTCTGTCCATCAATACCAGAGCTAATCCACGGGCAGCATTCTGCTGATGTCAAAACCGTAAGCGTTATGTCCTCGCTTGTAGAACCACTGACCGGAGAGGAGGTTCCGAAATAGAGACACACTGGACCGAAGCCGAACTGAGTTGAACAGCATAGCTGCTGCCAGGGTGGAGAGCAGAGTCTAGTTGTCTCTTCGGTTTAAAACGTTCACGATTCTGCGCCCCCACCGAAAACTTGTGCACGAYAATTTTGCACTTAACTTCAACTCTGTTTTTGATGAATATAAAGTACTGCCAACATCGCTCCTACTGCTTGCTAACTTGTTAGCGCAGAATGTTGTTGTTATCATGTGCACTCTGCATGCTGGATCAAAGCACTGCTGCATAGAAATGCTGGAGCGGAGTCAGTGGACTGCTGGAATGGACTGCTTATATCGGAGCGCTTTTATCGGACATTTTTTTATGCAGGCCGATAAAATCCGATACTCGTTTTTTCGCTGATATCGGACCGATATCCGATATCAATATCGGCTCAGGACACCCCTAGTTTTCATAATGGTGGAGTCTCCACCGTGGAGACAATACTGCACATTCTGGTTGAGCTACAGGTCGTGCTGATTTTATTTATGCATTTTTTTGTGTGGGGGGGATGCAACACAGGCTGTTTATCGTCCATTTTTATTGAACGAGAAAATGGGAGGAAAAGTTCTGTGCTGCTGGAATTAGCGCTGCTGTCCCTCCCTCCACAAAAGAGCAGAAACCGGTGGATGAAAGTCAGCAGACATGCGCAGTCAGGTCAATTTTCCACAATCAGAATAAGATGATCAGATTGAGTGTTTACATAAACGCTGTTCGGATTATCAATTGGCATAAACCACCTCTCTCATTCCGATTACAAATTCATTCGGATGCTGCTGAATCAGATCAGAATAATATGAATGAAGTGTTTGTATGRCACATTTTTTATTCCAAATGACCTGTACGTCTCCAGGACGGCGAGGTGAGCAGGTCAAATCGCAGCTGACCCTTTTCACCCTGCACACAGCCTGTTCAGACCACTCCCCTCAGGCAGAAGGTTTCGGTCCAGTTGGACCAGAACGTCCTGCCATAAGATCTGGTGCAGCAATGCTAGACCATGTCCAAAGATGTCCACGTCAACTGTTGTACTTACTGCCACAGCTTGCTTTACTTCCATTTTCACTTGTTCCCATTCTTCATCATACTTTTTGGCCGACATTTGTTTGATGGTCTGAAAATCAAACCGAGTCAAACCAAAAGCAAATGTATATATATAGTATATAAATTAAATATTAAATAAATTGGATATACAACTATGGAGCCCGGTCGGGCACAGCCCGAAGAGGAGACGTGGGTCCCACTTCCCATGGGCTCACCACCTGTGGGAAGGACCGTAGGGGTCGGGTGCATTGTGTGTTGGGCAGTAGTCGAAGGCGGGGACCTTGGCGGTCTGATCCTCAGCTACAGAAGCTGGTTCTAGGGACGTGGAATGTCACCTCTCTGGTGTTCAAGGAGCCTGAGCTGGTGTGTGAGGTTGAGAGGTTCCAACTAGATATAGTTGGACTCACCTCGACACACCACTCTGGCTCTGGAACCAGTCTCCTCCAGAGGGGTTGGACACTCTTCCACTCTGGAGTTGCCCATGCTGAGAGGTGCCGAGCAGGAGTGGGCATACTTATTGCCCCCATCTTGGTGCCTGTACGTTGGGTTTCACCCCGGTGAACGAGAGGGTAGCCTCCCTCCGCCTACGTGTGGGGGGATGGGTCCTGACTGTTGTTTGTGCCTATGAGCCTAACATCAGTTCAGATTACCCACCCTTTTTGGAGTCCTTGGAGGGGGTACTGGAGAACGCTCCTAACAGGGACTCCCTCATTCAGCTGGGGGACTTCAACGCTCACGTGGTAATGACAGTGAGATGTGGAGGGGCACGGTTGGGAGGAACGACCCCACCCCGATCTGAACCCGAGCAGTGTTTTGTTATTGGACCTCTGTGCTCATCATGGATTGTCCATAACGTACACTATGTTCAATGATCAACTTTGTTGTTGTTTCATCTGATCTGTGGCTGCATGTCTTGGACACTCAGGTGAAGAGAGGGGCGTAGCTGTCAACTGACAACTACCTGGTGGTGAGTTGGCTCCGTTGGTGGTGGKGGGAATGCCAGCCAGACCTGGCAGACCCAAACTTATAGTGAGGATCTGCTGGGAACGTCTGTCAGAGTCTCCTGTCAGACGAAGCTTCAACTCACACCTCCGGGAGAACTTCAAACATGTTCCGGGGGAGGTGGGGGACATGGAGTCCGAGTGGGCCATGTTTCATGCCTCCATTGTTCAGGCGACTTACCTGAGTTGTGGCCGTAAGGTTGTCGGTGCCTGTCTTGGAGGCAACCCTCGAACCCGCTAGTGGACACCGGCSATGAGGGATGCTGTCAGGCTGAAGAAGGAGTCCAATCGGGTCTTTTTGGCCTGTGGGACTTTGGAAGCAGCCGATAGGTATCTACAGTCTAAGTGGATTGCGGCTCGAGTGGTTGCTGAGGCAAAAACTTGGGTGTGGGAGGAGTTCGGAGAGGCCATGGAAAAAGACTTCTGTACGTCTTTGCTTTGAGGCAATTCTGGTCCACCATCCAGCATCTCGGGGGTGGGGGGGGGGGGGGGGGGTTCAACACCAACATTATTAATGGTGGGGATGGTGCGCTGCTGACCTCAACTCGGGACGTTGTGGGTCAGTGGCCAGAATACTTTGAAGACCTCTTCAATCCTTCTGACACATCTTCCCATGAGGAAGCAGATCCTGGGGACCCGGGGTCGGACTATCCAATCTCTGGTGCCGAGGTCACTGAGGTGGTTAAATAGCTCCTTGGTTGCAAGATGCCGGGATGGATGAGATTTGCCCGGAGTTCCTTAAGGCTCTGGATGTTGTGGGGTTGTATTGGTTGATGCGACTCTATAATATCGTGTGGACATCGGGGGCAGTTCCCCTAGATTGGCAGACCGGGGTGGTTGTCCCCCTATTTAAAAAGGGGGACCGCAGAGTGTGTTCCAACTATAGGGGGATCACGCTTCTAAGCCTCCCTGGTAAGGTCTATTCAGGGGTCCTGGAGAGGAGAGTCCGTTGGATAGTCGAATCTCAAATTCAGGAAGAGCAGTATGATTTTTGTCCTGGTCATGGAACAGTGGACCAGCTYTACACCCTCAGCAGGGTCCTGGAGGGTGCATGGGAGTTTGCCCAACCAGTCTACATGTGTTTTGTGGACTTGCAGAAGGCATTCGACCGTGCCCTTCCGGGGACCCCTGTGGGGGGGTACTCCGGGAGTATGGGGTACCAGACCCATTGATACGGGCTGTTAGGTCCCTGTACAACTGGTGCCAGAGCTTGGTTCACATTGCTGGTAGTAAGTCAGACTCACCAGAGCCTGTTGTAGGTACCTCAACAACAGTCTGTAGGACTGCCCTACAGGCCTGGACTAGACGTCAACACTCAATCCTCTGGAGGGAGCTGATGGACTGTAGACAGGCACTGGAACTGATTAATGGCCCAAATCTAAGGTTTGGGAAAGCTCTCATCTCCCTGTCAAGGAAAACTCTAAGTACACTGGTTAGAGTCCTAACGGGGCACAATCTGCTCAACCGCCACAAAATGGTGATGTGGGACTCCATGACAATGGTCTGTGTGATGCCTGTGGCATTGAACTACAGACCTCTTTGCTCTACTTAGACCACTGCCTGGTTCTGAGTGGTCAAAGGAAAAGAATTCTTGGGGACCCCTTGATGGATCTTGAGAAGCTCAGAACACTGAGTTTTTCTAACGTCGTGCCCTTCATCCGAGGGACGAGAACATTTGAATGAAGACCAGTATCTTTTTGGGGAGAGCAATGGGCCCACTTAGGAGGCCCCCACTCATATGAATTTTATATCCATCCCCCCTCACTATAGCCATAACCATAAGTCAGACTCATTTTCGGTGAGAGTTGGACTCCGCCAAGGTTGCGCTTTGTCACCAATTCTGTTCATAACATTTATGGACAGAATTTCTAGGAGCAGCCAAGKTGTTGAGGGGATCCGTTTTGGTGACCTTAGGATCACATCTCTGCTTTTTGTAGATGATGTGGTCCTATTGGCTTCATCAGATCCTGATCTCCAGCTCTCACTGGAGTGGTTCACAGCTGAGTGTGAAGTGGCTGGGATGAGGATCAGTGCCTCCAAATCAAAGAC